ATAAATAAATCGGCCTATTATAATTATGTTTTAATATAAAGTAGCCAAGTGTGAAGGGAACTGAAGCTGTTGTTTTGTCTGATGTCAGAATAATGTTCTCTGCTGTTATTCTGCAGGTTCTGCTGGATGGCGCTGAAGCTCAGAGTTCAGACGGACAGACTAACCTGGATCAGGTGTGTTCCTGTGTGTGTTTATTCATGAATGCAGTGTGAGATGATCCTGATGCTGATGCTGATGCTGCTGTGTGTGTTTGAGCAGCTGCTGGAGCTGGGCTTTCAGAAGGACATGGCCGACTCTGCGCTGAGGCTCATGGGAGATGATCTGGCTCAGGCCACTCAGATGCTGCTGGATAACCAGGGCGTGGTTCCTCCGGACCTCCTGTCTCCATCACCTCCATCCTCCTCCTCAGAGGAGCCCAGCACCTCCTCCGACTCCACCGGTGAGACCTCCATCCGCTCACGTGATCAATAAAAACAGACTAATATGTGACCCTGGAGCACAAAACCAGTCATAAAGGTCAATTTTTTAAAATTGAGATTTCTACATCCTCTGAATTTACAAAATATCTTCATGGAACATGATCTTTACTTAATATCCTAATGATTTTTGGCATAAAAGAAAAATGTATAATTTTGACGCATACAATGTATTTTTGGCTATTGCTACAAATATACCCCAGCGACTTATGACTGCTTTTGTGCTGCAGGGTCACATATATGACCAACTTACAGAAAAATCATATTTTCTGTGTTTTAAAAAACTTTTTACATTAGAAAACATAGATTAAAAAATATGGATATTTAAAAAAGACTATTTAAAAAAAACATTATAAAAACATTATTTCATATATATATATATATACATACACACACAGACAATACATGATCAATACAGATAAAAACAAAAACAAAAAATGACATTAATACAAAAAAATCATAAAAATTAAACAAATTATAAAAATATTTAAAATAAATGAAAAATGTTATATATATGATATAGAAAAGAGAAACCAGACACAATATATAGTCAAGAAACAGAAACAAATCAGATTTTTTAAATAGGAAAAATAATAATAATATATATATATATATGCATATTTAAGAAAATGATTATTTAAAAAAACACAAAAAAGTTAAATTAGATGAATACAAATTTTTTTTTAAATGCATATTATAACTACACAGATTTATATAATGCTATTATTTATTAGTAATAAAAATAAATTGTGTATACATAACTATCCCCAAACAATAATACATGATTAATAATTTATAATAAATAAAGATGTAAGATATAAAAGCTATAAAAATAACAACGACAATAAATTCAAACTTAAAAAATATATATTATGTATATAATATACAGTTCATATGTGTGTATGTTCATTTATTATTTTTAGTATGTATTAATAATTAAGATTCATTAACATTTATTTTTAGCATTTATTGTTTTATTATCTAATACTAATGACTTGTTTCACATAAAGAAATCGTGATGAGTGAGTGAGTGAGTGTGTGTGTGTTTGTGTGTGTGTGTGTGTTTGTGTGTGTGCGTGTGTGCGTGTGCAGCTTCAGCTTGGAGTCGTCTGGACGAGGATCTGGTGAACGAGGTTCTGGAGGACATTCCCCGACACGAGGAGGATTATCTGGATCTGACGCTGGACGAGGAGCAGGAGCTGATGCTGCAGATCAGATCCAGTCTGGAGAAACAGAGCTCCTCCTCCGGATAAAGCGCTCCTTAACCAGATCAGAACCTGTGCCTTTTATTGGTTTCAGATAACACGCCATCAAAACAGAACCTTGGGTTTATACAATGCTAATAATAATAGCCGTTAATAATTAGAGTCATATTTTGAAGCTTGATTGATGGTGTATGTCAAAGAACGGTTGATTTATCTTTATTTAGAGATTCGCTGAAGGGAACGTGTTTGTTTGGTTTAATGGTGATTCTACTCTAATGATTCATGATTCGGTTCAGTTCTTTCAGTTCGATTCTGATTCTTTTGTTCCAGGTTTATAATGTTTGTTGAACATGCAATAAAGATTCACTCGTTGTGAACGTTGACAGTGTCCACATTTTTTATTCTCACGACACTTAAAAAAAAAAAAAAAATCAAGTTGTGAATAAGAAAAAAGATTATTGGAATATGTTTCTTAGAATTTAAATCTACTAATTTTTTTTTGTGTGTAGTTTTCAAATCTCTCTCTCTCTCTCTCTCTCTCTCTATATATATATATATATTTTTTTTTTTTAAATTGTGGTTTTATTTTATTTGTCATTTAAAATGAATTAATGAACGTAAAAGAGTGATTCAAAATTGAATTTTTATATATTTCTAAAAAATTGGTCTCTTCTGCTCAACAAGGCTGCATTTACTGATCACAAATACAGTAAAAATTATGAAATATTATTACAATTTATAATAGTTGTTTTTAATGTGAATATATATTAAAATGTAATTTATTTCTGTGCTCAAAGCTGTATTTTCAGCATCATTACTCCAGTCTTCAGTGTCACATGATCTTCAGAAATCATTCTAATATGCTGATTTGCTGCTCGAGAAACATTTCTGATTATTATCAATGTTGAAAACAGTCGTGCTGCACAATATTTTTGTGGAAACTGTGATGCATTTTATTTTTCAGGATTCACAGATGCATAGAAAGTTCAAAAGAACAGCATTTATTTGAAATAGAAATCTTTTGTAGCATTCTAAATGTCTTTACTGACACTTTTGATCAATTTGATGCATCCTTTATGAATACAAATATTGATTGATTGATTGATTGATTGATTAAAAAAAAAAAAAGAGTTTGAAGAGTAGTGTGCTTATAAATGTGAACCTGAACTGATGTTGACGGCGGCGTGATGAATCCAGAGACAGACACAGAGACTCTTGTGTGATAAAATACCATCTTGACTGTGGTTTAGAGTTTATTTTACATGCTGAGAGAGAAGCAGGGTCCCGGTGAGGATGCTGGAGGGTTTAGAAGTAGTTGACGATCCTCCGGATGGACTGGATGTTGGGGTTCTGCGCCTGCCACTCGTTATGACTGCAGTAATTACCTCGCTCCACGATGTACATGCGGCCGCGGAAGTTCGGCTCTTCATACATCACCCACCTGAACATTAGACCACATACCACAGATAGAAATGTTTATATGTGACCCTGGAGCACAAAACCAGCCATAAGGGTCCATTTTTCAAAATTGAGATTTATACATCATCTGAAAGCTGAATAAATAATCTTTCCATTGA